CTATACACCGAAGGTATGAATAATATATATGTATGTATATATATATATATATATACGATATACACAAGCCATGTAGTAAATATATTTAAATAGGCATGCATAGTTTAGTTCAATTGAATGTGTTATTTATAACTATAGTAGTTTTTTTTCTTTTAAAAATATAACTATTTATAATGCTCTCTAAATAATAAAAAAATAAATTACAGTGAAAGCAATGAAGATTTCATAAGGTTTTGAACCAAACTAAATAACAGTAAACCTTTTTTTTTATTTACGATATTTTCTTATTTTGAGCTCTTGTGTTTAGAACAATATATACTAATTTTTAAAGTATCAAATTGAATTTTTGTTCAATAAAAATCTTTCAAATGCTACTGAAGCTTTTTCCCCCCCAAAACCTTGTTTTCAAAATAAGGGTGCGTCCTATATTCTGAAAAATACGGTAACTTGTAAATATAAAGCAAAACAATGTAGCAATAAAACATGCTTGAAATATTCTAGATGTGGTCATGAATGTGATGGTTTAAGTGTAGCAATTATGCTGAACAGTTGGTCAAGTTCGGATGAAAGAAAAACTTATTCGAAGATTTCCCAATTGATTTGACACACCAGATGAATTCGTCTACAGTATTGTTATTTTCAAAAGGGGGGTGGAATCACACATATATGCAAATCATTAGTTTCAATATTTTGTGAAACTAACGACAATGTAAAGCCGAAAGATGCAGTGTTGAAGCAGATGCACGATGTATTATAAGATGATCTCTCAAATTAAAATTACTGTTTTTGCAATGACGAGTAAATATAAGTGCTCAGTATGGTACCAACATGGTTATACTCTATATTAATTTCATCATGTTATATTTTTATTAATATTTATTTTATTTTCGTTTTAGAACTTGTGCTCACCTTCATTCATTGAGATGCATCGAAATAACCCTAAATCATCGGCTTTCGGAATGACCTCTCTATTGACCATACTACTCTCTGTTTTAAGGGTCCACAGTAGTCTTTTCATGAATGAAAATGGTCTACTATTATTCTTTGATAGGTGGTTCTTCCAAAAGAATCGTTTAATTTCTCCCATATTCCTTTGTGAGGTAAGTGACATTGTCGGAATTTAAATTTTGTATTAAACTGTTTGAATGTTGTATACTTTAGTAATAAAGAATTATTAGTTATATATATATATATATATTTAAGTTATATATTAGGTTATAAACATTAGAAATATAATCATATTAGTTTCTATAATAAAATCTGGGCTGGGCTAGTGGTCAGTATGTTGGACTGCGGTTTCAAATATAACGTTACTGAAGGTACTCTGCATATTCAGGAGTAGACACGCTATAAAAGTGGGAGTCCTATTATTCAGCTCAAAGCTCCAGAGAAATCCCTTGTGGTGGTGGGTTGCCTTTTCTTTGAGGGGGATCTAATCTGGCCGTTTATCCCACGTATTCAGAATACTTTTGTTTGTTGTTGAGCACAAGGTTACAAAATGGGCTATCTGCCCTGTGCCTACCACAAATGTCGAAAACCGGTTTTAATTCCTAATTACACATTAGCTGTAAGAAAAGAAAACACATATTTAAAAGAAATATTTCAACTTCTAGCTGTATTATCTCTCCTTATAAAGAAATACAGATTTTTATTTTCTTTCTTTGTTTGTTTCAGAAATTGCTAATCTACACAAGACCTATCTGTGTTAGCCAATCATAATTTTGAACTGATAGACTACGGGAAAAGAAGCTATTCAACAGCACAATCTGCCAATTCTCAGACTACTCTAATCAAACTGAGAGATTTGACCATTCCTCTTATAATACACCCACAGCCCTAAAATGCAGAGCACATTTATGTGGCAACGGGACATAAAACATGAATCACTGGGTTCACACACAAGTACTAGTTTCTTCTTCTTTTTTAATAGAAAACTCCACATTAGGAAAGAAACACCAAGAGTTACTGGATTATATTGTGTACGACAGTATATGTGAATCTATAAAATTGAGTAAATATTTTGAAGTTTAAAATAATTACTTAGTTAAATATATTCATAAACTTATTTCTCCAATTTCAGTATGTGGCTATGGAACCAAAATATAATAGACAAGTTGGAATTCATAAACTATTTTAATGTTTCATTGTCTATCTTTGATCAATCACATATATATGCAGAGCAGACACTGTTGTGATATATAACAATAACTATAGGAATGGAAAGCATAGAACTGCCCTATTTACAGAATATACCATTGATCTATACAAGTTTAACCCCAAAAGGATAACTTAATTACAACAATTACAAAGGAGTAAATTGAAGCACCTCTGAAAAATCAAATGGACACATGCTAATTAGATAATGATTGAATAAAGGCTGTGATACATAAAAAATATCCTGTCATTCCCAAACCTACTTCAAATTGTATGCAGTCTTACATAAAAGCACAAATGTTCTCACCAATTTCCAAAATAATTCACACATTGATGCAAAAGAACATGTTTTGTGTTTATGTACAATAGTGAAACAGTCACAACAGAGTAAAAGATTTCAAAGAACAAAACTACACAAAACTAGCATTGATGATAACAGGTTTTTAAAAATAAACAATATACAGGTCTTTAAGGAATTTACACCATTCAGACAACAACTTGTCACTTGAGTGCATCACAGTTCAGTAAGGTAATATTTTTAGTGTATACAAGTTATAAATTTAGTTTGGATAAGGCTAATTATACATGTCATCACAGCAGTTTCCACAACATTAAGGTGGCCATTGGTCCTTTAGTTATAATTAGTTCTATCTTATTGCCAGTGATAACCTTTCTATTTAGCACTAAAACATAGAACATTCATTACAGGTCTCACAATTATCAAGAGACAAAAAAATGTACAGGTATTCTTTTACAATGTGTTTATCATACAGACATTGTTTTTTTATGGACTTCTCCTCTCTTCTTTGGGTTATCAAAGCCACTATAAAATGACATACGAAGTCCGTGAGAAATATGGTTAGCGTATCAAATGTCTGCTAAAATTAATCAGCCATATTGTCCTGGAAAGATAAATTGTTCAACTATGAAGAACTAAATAAAAATTGTTTCCAATATATCCACAAAGTAGTTTTCTCTAGTTAATGTTGAATATTATTCAACATGCAAACATATACATATATATGGATTATACATATATGCCAGCCATCATTAAAGTAACACACTAAAGTAAATGTGGAGTACAAGAAAACATTTATAATAAATCAGTAGCAAAAAGTAACAGCTGGTTTATGGGGTTCGAATAAAAAGTACTTCTAGAATAGCAATTGAAATTAATTTTTCTTTTAATGGTTCTTTTTTATAAAAGTATGGACATAAAAGCATTCCTTGGTAAATTCAAATCAACAAAGTTTCATTAATAAGATGAGAATAACAATTACTAAAACGTTTAGAATAAAGAATCTAAAATTATCCTTTATTAGATTATCAAAACAGTAAATATTTTCACTAAAGAAAGCTTAAGGCTAGTACCTTCAAAGTTTATTGTACTTACACCTTTATTTTAAAAAAGTCCCGTAGAGTAACAGGACTTCAGATAAAAACTTTGGTTACCTGTAAAGTTTGTGTAGGGGATGGTCCAAGAGTTTTATTTATGACCTGGATTATAGAATCTATCATAAAGTTTTTGTTAATAATGCATTAGAACTGCACAAGTTACATCATCTCTTAATGTAAACTTAAAGAATAAAAAAAATTATTACCTGTAAATGTATGTAGACAATAAAAAAGAAGATCACGGGTATGAATTTCACTGAAGGCCTGATATATCATTCTGAGTAAAGTATAAACCAGTTAAGCTTTATGCAGAGGTGCTTAAAAAGATTATGTCAGGTACATGTAGCAGGCTATTCCTTTTTAAAAGGAGACTGGTTAAATAAAAATCTTAAATGCTTTATAGTTTCTCAGTTAAAAACAAGGGGAAAACATGAATATTTGAAGTTTTGATTTGAGTTTTTTTATGTTTCTTCTAAACATAAAGAACAAAGCAAAACACAGTAAAGTAAAATAATTTTAAAACAAAATGTCCAAATGACTGTTTTCATATTTTAATTTTTTATTACTGACTAGGCTGTTCCACCCACTGTCTCGTATCTTTCACTTCAATTACAAGTGAAGTATTTTAGTAGAAAAATGATTACAAGCAACACATATGAGGTTATAAACATTATTAATTTTTCACTGCTATCAAAGTGTGGTCTAGAGGATTCACAAATAATATTCAACCACTCATATGCAGCTTACATTACAACAGTATAAATTTTTAATGTGTCTATTTCAATATGCATCCTTGACCAATTAAATTGAGCATATTGGATTACCAAGTTTATCAACAGTATGCATGCATATGGCACAATCAACGTCTGATACCCTACCTCTATATTATCTACTTATCCCTTTTTTGAAAAGTACATTTATGGCTCAGACAAATGTGCTTTTAAACAATCAAACTTCAATCCTCACATTTAAGTTACTACCAATATGTAATAAACTATCAAATCATAACCCTTTGGATATTTGTGATAATTCTTAGGATTTGCACATCATCTTAGATCAGATAATCAATGACACCATTTTGCAGATTAACGTGTATACTGCCTCTAAAACCCTATAATTCTGGCTCATATACTATTCCATTTCCAAACTAACAACTATACAAACCTTACTGTTGTACAGCATACACAAAAGTTTTCAGTTCTGATGGCTGTAATGTTGATTATATACTTCAGTACTGACATCTGTTTTATACCATTCTATTCTCAGATATACAAATATTCTAGTTCTGAAAGGAATGACGAATACACTACATGTTCTTAATTATGTAACACCCCCAATCTCATGTAATTTCCACATATTCATACACTATGTATACCCTTAATGTACTCCAGTTATATCTAGTTCTAATTGCACTACACATTCTGGATAATAAGGTTATTTATATTTTTCAGTTAATATTTCACAGAACAATCCAGTAAATGCTATAAGGTTTTAAGATACAAAATGATTTAACAACTGCTGTGTAATTAATCAATCTATGTTATTATTTACAACTGTAAATCATTAAGAATCAAATTTTGAACCTAAGTAAATTACTTTGAAAGAGACGAAATCTTAAAACTAGTCTAAATTATTGTTTTCCTACAGTTTTTATGTAAACAACCTTTTGATTATTATAACAAACTAAAAATAAAATTCTTCTTCAACTTTTTGAACACACTAGAAATTATAGATTCTAATCATTTCGGTCATTTTTCTTGTAGTGTTTATAATATTTTTTTAATCTTGAAACTGTTTAATGATAAAACACCAAAACCAGGCAATACATCATTACCTATATAATTAATTAGAAAACTTTTTATAAATTTAGCAATGAATACCATGCAAATCTAATATGATCTAAAATCTTGTCTAAACATAGTTGTATAAAGAAATCTAAACTATTTACTAAAATGTTATTGTTTATAACATAAAAACATAGCAAACATGAGGACTGAATTTATTACTAAACATCCCAAATGATAACAATAAACATTTTAAATCATGAATGCTAGAATACAATATCTAAAACCATCAGTCTTACTCAGAGAAAAGAAACACATCCATACATTCTCCATAAAATCAGTTCAACATTTCTTTCCACTAAAACATATTCCATACAATTTGAACAACTATTACTAGTATCATATTATTCAAGACAACCTAAGTTACAAAACAACGAAGCTAGCAAAATGTTGAATGTTGTTGCATTTTTACAAAAACTTAACATACTCAAATAAAACCAAATTTTGCCACTCATTCTAAAACACCAAAATTCATATGGAAGTCTGAGACTTGATGCAACAATAGTCTCTCACTTTTATCTTCTGACATGAACATTTGTACTGTCCAGTGGATTTAAGACAAACATTTGAATGGACAATCATAAAGCCTTCAGTCAGATGTCAACAAAGAAGGTAAGATTTTTTTTTTAAAGTTACATTTGAAATAAACAAACAGCCTTAACTAACCAATCACAAAAGTTTTACTTTCTGTTAAAATGCATGCAGGGTCTTAAATCCACATGACTGGCATTCTTGCAGCTACTCAGGGCTAGTAGGGCACTTTGGTAAAATATATTTATGACAATAATGTTGTATGCATGATGGTCATTTTCTGTCTCCTGGACTGGAAGCTTCAGAGTCACTACCAGAATAGCCCTCAGAGGGTGTGCTGGTGTTTGGACGAGATGGAAAATCTAGAGGAGATCCAATGCTGGATTGTCTAGAGAGGCCTTGTGCTTTAGCTGTTGCCATAGCAACTTCCATATCGGCTGGATCAGAAGAACTTGATGCCTCGCTTCTTGTACTAGTAGAGGAAATGTGTTGAATTGATTTAAAAACCTGTATGGTATTAGTTTTGCAATGGAATTAAAGTTAGCTCAATGAGTCAGTTGACCTGTACAAAACTGGTTAGGCTAGTAATTCAATGGCATGCTATGAGTCTGACTTAATTTATTACAGACCTAATGTCACGAGGAAAAAAAATCATTTTCATTGAAGGAAGAACACCAAAATACTCTTACTTTAGAAATTACAATATGCATTATCACTATAGCAGTAAAGGTTTGGGGACACTAGCTAACTGGAGTCAATATACCATAAGGAAAAAACAGAAAAGAAAAAGAGAGCTTACAAAGCCTTAAAGAGGAACTGCTATTGAATAGTAATGGTGGCATGAGTTGAAGACATTTTTGCCTATTTACTCTCACAAAATCCACTTCTGATATTGAGGTATTAAATTAATCACAAAAGACTTAAATAAGAGATCAGGACTACAGGCAAGCCAACCACAGTGTAAACACAAGCTTCATGCTGCTGGACTTTCTGGATGGGCTGTACTCCATAGAGTCATCACGAGAGACGTGGATGTAAGGTGATGGCTCTTTCATGGTGCAACTTGGGTGGATAACCATGGGAACAAACCACCACGTGAAGCAATGAATACCACTACACACCGTTTTCTTTGGATGGATGAGTCAAAACTTGATGACAACTTAAAGTGGTGGGTATGACTGTGTAGTTCCATCATGAAAAACGGTGGAATGGTATTATGTCAGCATGTTTGAATCTGATTTATTTGTAACAGTTACATTGATTAAATCATGGTTGGCAGAAGCCAATGAGAAAAACATTCCTGGACCAACTTGTCATTCCAAAGGATCTAATTTACTGAATTTACAAGAATGCAAACTCTACAAAAACTAAAATAACTAATGATTTATAAGATGAAAAATTCTGTAACAGCTGTACACTTAAGCTGGTGAAAAAAACACCTAATCAAGCAAGAAAAAAAAAAGGAATATGAAACAAGCTGTTAAAATAAATTATAAATGACCAAGTACTACTGAACATAATGCTAAAGAATTCTTTATGTATTACTGTCCCCTAAAAATACTTAAACTTTTCTCAACTTCAGTTTAAAAACAAATGATAAAGCTTTGAGTCTTGTTCCCAAATACCATGCTTAAAAATTCCTCCACCATGTAACCAAAAACAAATAATATATATTGAACATATTCTTTAAATTTGCCAATAGGACAACAAGTTACCTTGTACCCAATTGGACTGCTAAGCATACATCACCATACCAACCAAGCAGAGAATCCCACTCATATTGTTACTGAGACCACTCTCATATTTTTATGCACAATACTAATGTTCTATATCTTGTAGTTTTTTCCACACATTTGCATTCTATTATTTCTTAACATTTTCTGTCAGAACTGCTTCAACTTCACCTAAAAAAGAACTTTTCAAAGAACTGGAAACAATGTGTGTGTCAATAAAACTTTTATATTTCAATATGGTGTTTAGACTAAGTTTTATTGTAAAATAACTCGTGCACACATTTAAACAATAATTATTAAGAATTATCTTATATTTTTTCAAAAGTGCTGTCATGTGTATCAGTCACCACAGGGAATGATGATTACAAGTAAAATAATGAAACTGTTTATTTTAGACAAAAAAAACAACAAAAAACAAACAACTCATAAGAACACAAAGAAAAATAATATTAATGACATACATCATACTACTGATTTTCACACCTGATAATCTTTGAAATATATGGTAATGGAGCCCGAAAAATATCACTCGAAGTATATCAACTTTGGTTGATCAATTTAAATAACTGGTGATCTAGTGAGATATACCTTGATTGGCTGTCTTTAATGGTAAATATCTGACTGTTTCATACATGGTGGTTAGCTTATAATCTCAGTCTATTATACCCTTGCTATTTGGAATTTCATTTCTCTCTCTCTCTATTGAAAGATTTAGGAAATAACTAAGGAGGAACTTATGCCAGAAACATTGTTTGTTATTTTTGAGGTGTTTATTATAAATATGGAACTAAGAAAATTTAAAACATCCATATCCTATCAACAATTTTGTGACTTTAGATATTTGACAAATGAGTCTCGAACATATTTTATGCTAACAATATCATCCCAAAAATGGTCACATGACACTTGTTCAGTTGCTAATGGAGGTACATAATTCAAAACATGTTGTTGATCAATGCTGTCAAGTCACTTTACGATCTAAAGATAATCTTCCATGAAACTGAGATAAGTATAATAGTACAACTTTCTGTAAATAAAGATGGGGGATGTGGAAACACTATGGTTAGACGTTTCCAGGACCTCCTGATAAAAGTAATTAATATTACAGGATTTCGAGTACTGAAAAATTTGTTTAAAATATTACATGACTTTCCAGAATTATCATAACCTGTGCATGATGTTATAGCATACAGAAATAATGTTTCACAATGCTATCCAAGAGACAATACGGACAGACCTCAAAATCTCACTAAACTTGGTGCTGCTAAGAAGAAGTGGCAGTAAATTCAAGGTTGTGACCAGCATAAAAATTAGGCCCACTCTCACTTAAAATAGGGCCCCAGTGGCAAAATGTGACCCATTCCTGTCCCATCACTTTTTGAATATCTATATATAAATTGCATATTACATTAAATAAAGTTTTTGTTTTCAATATTTAGGTATTACCACACTTTTTTTATGGATTGATAAGAAATACTATTCAGAGCTTATTGTTCAAATTTAATCATTAAATTCCTACATTCTGAAATATCTTCTTACCCTGTTCTGCTAACATGTAGTCTGTCATCCATATCCATTCCAGAAAGAAAGTATTCATTCCCTCTGTACATTTCTTAAATAAAAAATAAAACTATTTTTTTAAATGTCCTGAAATGTAAAATCTAGTTACATATATACTTCTATCTATGAATATTATCAGTCTAATATTTGTCCACCTGATAGTTTTTCCACAGTCTTATACCTCTTCAAGTGTTCTGCAGCAATTAATATCAAAACCAGAAAAGAAAAAACAAAAACTGTTGAATGGTGTCAGACTTTTTGTGTTTTATGTTAAAAAAGGAAAATTCTCTCTCTGATCTATAGTTGTTTGACATTTGGTATTATAAGCAATTATTAAAAAAAGATTCATAATTAAACAACATATAAAAATCTAACTTCTGTAACATTTACAACATTTTACTTAATTATTTATTAGGCAAAGTTAGTACTGTTTACTGAATACAATATAGGTTTTAGTATTTTGACACATTCTTTTTCAACTTCTCTTGTTCATCACTTGAATTAGAACATCAGTTTACATTTTATCAAGAGTCATCAGAATATTTTTGTTGAATTTTTTAAATTATGATTTATCATGTCTAATCATTCTTCTTCTCCCCTCAATTCCTTCATATGGAGTTGGACGTCTTGTGATCCTTCTCCATTGAAATCTATTGTTGACTACACTGTGGTTACTCGACTACTGTCCTCTTTAATACAATCCTTCCACCTCTTCCTTTCTGCAGCCTATCTTTCACTTTCCCCTTTGTTGCCCATTTCATCAAACTATCCTCACCCATCATTTATTTTCACACACCACACTCCAATCATAATTCCTGCACCTTATCTCTGATATTACAAACCTTCACTTCCTGTCTAGTTTCTGCACTTGGCTTGTAATCTGTTAAAGTCACACGTCTAATGCATCTCAACCACCTCATTTCTGTCCCTTCCAACCTTTTCAGATGACACTCCTTCACTATCAGAGTATCTGTGCCAAATAGTAGGGCTGGCCTGATCATGATTTTGTACAAAAGGCTCTTCTCACTTCAATAGCTATCAAATACCATCCCTACAATCCTCTGCCACAACCCCTTGCACTTTGTAACCTGGCTTGTATCTTTCTGTGCAGCTCACTGTTCTCCTCTGGTCAGCCTCCCAGGTATTGAAATTCTTTATTGTCTATATTCAGTTCAGTTCGATTCACGGCTGACAACACTACCATCTCATCTGTTTTTAATCTGCTGATCTTTATTCCAACACTGCTCAGTGCTTTGTTCCATCTACACACCATTTCCTCCAGCTCCTCCTCTGAGTACACTCTTAATACCATATCATCTGCATACATCAGTTTCTTGTATTTTTCCATATCCAACTGCTTACTTATGTAATCCAGGATAGTGGGATCAATGTCCTAATCACCTTTTTATATGCATTCTCCAGATCCAGAAAAGCCCATGTTGATACTCCAATTGCCTTTCCATTACTTGCCTCACAATAAATGAAACATCAACTGTGCCTTTACCCTTTTGGTAACCAAACTGCTTTTCCCCTAGCTGTGGTTCCACTATTCTTCGCAATCTTTTATCAATGATTCTCTCCATCACTTTCATTGTGTGTGCTAAGAGTTTTACACCCTATAATTTCCACATTCATGGATATTGACTTTCTTCTTGAAAATGAGCACTAATATAGAAGCTCTCTATGCCTCGATTATCTTCCTCTCATTCCACACCGTTTGGATCCATTTAGACACCCAGCTGATTCCTTCACCATATCTGTTATAATCTCATCTGGTCCAACAGCCTTATACACCTTTGCTTTACCAATTTCTCTCCTCACTTCCTCAATGGACACATCTGGCTCAGCACTGACATTTGGTGTATAGTTTGGTAATTGTGCTTCAAATGACTCTTTGTTACTTCAACTGCAGTTATTTGCAATTTTCCATCCTTATCATTTATAAATAGTAAACAGACTTAGACCTCTTTTGACTGGTTTATGCTTTCAGCTAATTTAAACACTTTCTTCATAGCTGTGACTACATTATCTTCCAGCTCCTCATACAGTTAATCCAATGCCTCTTTTATAACATTGCTCACCATCTTCCATGCCTCCTTTTTCGATTTTGTAAACTCTTTTTTAATTCTCTGTGATGGTTGCAATTCACATTGCTTTCTTGCCTCTTTCTTCTGTTTCCTATACTACATTCCTCCACCACCATTCTTCCCTATTTTTTCTATTCCCAAATGCTACCCTTCCACATACCTTCTCTGATACAGTTATCCATTCTTCTTGTACATTGTTTCTCTCTTTTCTGCTGTTTTCAATGGTCCAACTGGTTTTTTCCTTTCCAAATATTTTGCATGTGCTCCCTTCAGCTTCCATCCTTTAATACATGTTTCATTTGAACATAGGTCTTTCTTTTTCCACTTTTCCAGCACAACTGTTGTTACTACGAGCTTGTGCTGCAAAGTTATCATGTCACTCAGAATCACTTTACAGTCCTTCACACATTTCTATTGTTTTCAGCACTAGAAGCATATCTATTTGTGATCTCACCTTACTGCTCCTATAGATATATCTTTGGCTATCTGGCTTCTCAAACCATGTGTTAGTCATCAATGATTCACTGCTGATGCACATGTGTGGTAGTATATTACTTAAACAGCCCTTGTTTACAAATGCAACTTTTTTGATTTTAATATCATTCAAAATTATGAAGCAACATCTTATTTAGCATTACGTCAAGATTATTTTTTTTACACTGTTTCTTAAAGAAAAAAGTTATTGACAGAACTATCTTAGCCAGAATCAACTAAAAAATAAATTTATGATAAATAAAAAAAAGCTTAAAAGTTGTGAAGCTAACATCCAGCTGGAACTACCAAAGTGATTATGTCTAATTAAAA